AAGAAAGAAAGAAAGAAAGAAAGAAAGAAAGAAAGAAAGAAAGAAAGAAAGAAAGAAAGAAAGCAAGCAAGCAAGCAAGCCAGCCTCGGGGGAGAAGGAAACTTAGGAGATGGAGACCTGGCATCAGATCCTGCGCATGGGTGACCAGGCCGGACATCTCCAGGTCTCAGTTGGTTCAGCTGGGCCTGCTCCAGAAGAAGAAGTTGCAGTTTGATGACGGGTCATTAGGAGGACCTTGTGGCCTGGCACACACATAGAAATGGCGACCCTGGTTGGGTCCTGGTTTTTTCACAATCCGCATCACACATGGCTCCCTGTGGCCTCTGCAGAGGGGTGCGGGTGAGGGCCCACTCAGCACAGACTTCCAGAATGAGGTCTGTACCTCCTTCTCGTCTTTGACCTCAGAATCCTTGGTTTGCTCATCCACCATTGTGGTTGTCATATTCTCTTCTGGAGGCTTTGGGGTAAGAAGGGTGGCCACCAGAGGCAGCCTAGGTAGTTCTACATCAGAAGTTTGGGAAAGGCTAGCAGAAGGCTGAAAATAACTCAGCAGGTCTTTCTGGCGTCTTCTGGAGCCACCTTGACGTTTTCGAGGCCTGGATGAGTGCCTGTGGGCCTGTATTTTTTGCTGTTTCTGGACCTGGGCTTCATGGCTGGGCTGCAGGACTGGCTGCCCCCGCTTGAGTGCTTGTTCACGAGGAACTAGGAAGCCAAGAATCTTGAGCTGGGTACCTGCAAACTCAGGGAGGAAACGGGTGCACAGAGCTGGGCACTGTTTTGCTGGTACACAGGACACATTCAAAACAGCTCCCACAGGGCAGTGGTCAGAGCCCATAACTTCAGGGAGCAGGAAGGCATCTTGGAAAGTGTCTACGATTAGAGTCCTGTCTCCTAGTACATAGTCAACTCTGCTACCATAGTTGAGACGGCGGGCACCAGTGATCACTGACCAGCAGGTGAAGGCTCTCTCCTGTTTTGGATAGAAATAACGGTAGCTATCTATAAAAGGCGCTACATGGGACTCAGTCTGGTACTCCAGTTCACTGATCAAGCCATCCATCCACTTACGCCCCGGGTCTTCTTCGAAGCACTCTAGATTGCCAGCATCGCAGTGGTCAATGGGGCGGTGGGCTGTATTCAGGTCCCCCAGGATTATAACATGGCAGCCAGCTGCCAGGAGCGCTTCTGCTCTGATCTGCAGCAGGCGATAGAAACGCATCTTAAAGGTCAGCCGCTCAGGCCTCCCAGGATTCGCATATGGGCAGTACACGTTGATCAGGGTCAAGGGCCTCTCCTTGCCTTCCCACGTGCAGATCTTATGCTGCGTAAGGAGAGCCCGGCCCTCACTATCCAGAGCCCGGAGCTGCTCTTGGGTGAACTCAGTCATGTTTCCATAGCAACCAATATCCCCGTTGAGGGTGGCAAACAGACCACTCAGGCCTTCTTCAGCAGCCACTGGGGTAACACTGTCCTTACAGAAAGTGGCCACACCAGAATAGCCACTCTGGCCACGGCTGAAGCTGAAATAGGAGTTGTAGCCCTCAACGACAGCCAGGGGCTCCATCAGTGCATCTCTGGTCACTTTGGTCTCCTGGAGACAGACAATATCGGCATCCAGCTCTTCCAAAACGTGTCGCAAGACCGTTGAACAGTTACTGGGTACCTGGCATCCCAGACCTTGCAGGGGCCTCCGGATCCCGTTGATATTCCAGCTTACCACGCGCAACATTTTGGTAGACTGTACCGTTTCACAGACTGTATGTATAGGCATAGTCAAACTGTTATCCGGAAGTTAACTGGCTCCCACCTTCCTTGTGCGTTTGCGCAGGTGTTCTTATCCCCCAAAGCACCGGACTGCTCGCGGGGGCTTCAAGTTCAGTTCTCTTTGGTGAGAGATGAACTATGGTGAGAACAGATTCCAACGAGGAGGGAAGGCTGGGTTGTATAGGCTGGTGACGTCAGCACTCAGAAAACTGATGCAACGGTTTGCAAATACAAGACCTACCTGGACTCCGCAGTCAGACCATATCCAAAATCCTGGGAAGAGTGAACTGCGAGAAGAATGTCTATGGTCCTTTTCTTCTGGCTGAACACAGGCCAGACTCCTGAGTTCCCGATTTCCTTCCTCCTCTATTCAAAAGTCCCTTTGATACATCAGTTTAGTTACAACTGGCTTTCCAAAGACTATGACTAAAAAGCAAACAGTGTTCTTCCTAACATTAAACAATCAACCAAGCAGAGTCTTCCCAAGACACCCAAGTTACAAACATGAGAATTTCTTTTTGGGAGACACCAGTCAGTGAAGAGGCAGTCTTAGCTTGTAGTGTTGTCTTTTGTATCTGAGAGCATGCAGACTTGAGCTGGGCTGCTTTCACACAGTGGAAGAACAACACGGAGGGTAGCAGAGACAAAGGTCAGAAAAATATGTACTTCATCCAAATATTTGGTAGTTTTACTTGTCAGCTAAGAACACTGATTCATATAATTAGTGTACATTGCCACACACACACACACACACATACACACACACACACACACACATACCCTTTCAAGCACTCAGTTTACCACTTCAGAACTCTCTTTGAAACTGTACTTCAAATACTGTAAAATCAGAAGTCACCACAGTAGGAAAAGGATGAGCCTAAGGAAATTGGAAGAGGAACATGAGGTCTCAGGTTATTTCTCCATCCTTTGGCTAGATATGATAGAAGACACAGTAGGGGAAGTGAGAGAAGTTTATAAAGCAAAACAGAGTGTGGAGAAAGAAAATAGAAGGTCTGAGAGCAAACAATCATCCATCAGTCACAAAGAAGAGGAGCATGACCCCAAAAATTTTACCATGGGACCTTTTACAACTCATAAACACTTTCAGTAACATAGCAGAATACAAGATAAACTAAAAAAAAAAGTATCCCTCCTTTATACAGATAATAAACAGACTGAGAAAGAAATCTGAGAAACATCACCCTTCACATAGCCACATATAGCATAAAATATCTCAGAGTAACTCTAAACAAACAAGTGGAAGACTTGTATGACAAGAACTTTAACTCTTTGAAGACATAAATTGAAGAAGACATCAGAAAGTGGAAAGCTCTCCTATGCTCTTGGGTAGGTAGAATTACCTTAGTAAAAATGACAATCTTACCAAAAACAATCTACAGATTCAATGCAATGCCCATCAAAATCCCAGCAAAATTCTTTGCAGGCCTCAAAAGAATGGTACTCAACTTCATATAGAAAAGCAAAAAACCCAGGATAGCCAAAACAATCCTGTACAATAAAAGAACTTCTGGGGGCATCAAAATTCCTGACTTCAAACTCTACTACAGAGCTACAGTACTGAAAACAGCCTGGTACTGGCATAAAAATCCAGATATTAATCCACACACCTATGAACATCTGATTTTTGACAAAGAAGCAAAAAATATCAAATGGAAAAAAGCATATTTAACAAGTGGCATAACTGGATATCAACATGTAAAAGAATAAAAATAGACCCCATCTATCACCATGCACAAAACTCAAGTTCAAATGGATCAAAGACCTCAACATAAAGCCAGTCACACTGAACCTCATAGAAGAAAAAGTGGGAAGTATACTTGAACACATTGGCACAGGAGACCACTTCCTAAATATAACCCCAGCAGCACAGACACTGAGAGAAACAATTAATAAATGTGATCTTATGAAACTGAAAAGCTTCTGTAAAGCAAGGGACACAGTCAACAAGACAAAATGATAGCCTACAGAATGGGAAAAGATCTTCACTAACCCCACGTCAGACAGAGGTCTGATCTCCAAAATATGCAAAGAACTCAAGAAATTGGTTATCAAAAGAACAAATAATCTAATAAAAAATGGAGTACAGACCTAAAAAGAGAATTCTCAACAAAGGAATCTAAAATGGCTGAAAAACACATAAGGAAATGCTCAACATCTTTAGTCATCAGAGAAACGCAAATCAAAAGAACTCTGAGCTTCCATCTTACACCTGGCCAAGTTAAAAAATACTGATGACAACTTATGCTGGAGAGGTTATGGGGTAAAGGGAACACTCCTGCATTGCTGGTGGGAATGCAAGCTGGTACACACCCTTTGGACGTCGCTGTGGCTATTTCTTCAAAAATTAGGAAACAACTTTCCTCAAGACCCATCAATACCATTTTTTGGTATATATCCAAAGGATGCTCAATTGTACCACAAGGACATGTGCTTAGCTATGTTCATAGCAGCATTGTTTGTCATATCCAGGACCTGGAAACAACTTAAATGCCTCTCAACTGAAGAATGGGTAAGGAAAATGTGGTACTTTTCCACAATGGAGTACTACACAACAGAAAAAAATAACGACATCTTGAAATTTGCAGGCAAATGGATGGAGCTTTCTAACATCATATTGAGTGAAGTAACTCAGACCCAGCAAGACAATTATCATATGTACTCACTTGTAAGTTGTTTTTAAACATAAAGCAAAGAACACTAACCTACAAATCACAATCCCAGAGAACCTAGACAACAATGAGGACCCTAAGAGAGACATACATGATTTAATCTACATGGGAAGTAAAATAAGACAAGATCTCCTGAGTAAATTAGGAGCATGGGGACCTTGGGAGAGGGTTGAAGGAGAGAGGAAAGGCTGGGAGGGGACCAGAGGAAAATATAGAGCTCAATAAAATCAATTTAAAGAAAAAGGAGAAGAACACAGAATATTTTTGTGCATGTAGGTCATCAAGCCCTTAGGGCTGGAAATGGCTGCAGGGTCAATGGTCTAAATGCTCAAAGTTAGAACTACAGAGAGAACAGATTCAGGGTTCTGTGCTATGGCGATGAAAGGTGGGGGAAGGAGTAGGAACACCCTAGCCCCAGGCCACCTCTGTGTATCCCCCCCCCACCCCAGGGCCCTATTCAGCAGCAGGTGAAAACCTTGTAATTTGTCTCCTCTGAGATTTCCACTGGCTTAAAACCTGACCTCAGAGGAGTCTTCATGGGCTTGCCTTACAAGTTGGTTTGTACACCATCCACACCATCTTGGAGGGGATGGAAAGGCCAAGTAGTTTCTGACACAAGCAGCCATTTCCAAAGTATGTTCATGAGCAAGGACATTAGTGAACCCTGAATCTGGTAACCACCCTTCACAGTAAAGCAGAAGAGTGTCATGTAAAAGCTCTCGGCTACAGGCTTCATTGGCAGGGATCTGGTTCTGAGGACATTCTGTCGTAGGAACTACTTGAAAGTTGGGACCAATCTGAATCCCTGTTGGACTATCTGAGCCACAGCCTGTAAGCCAAGCTATTTTAATAAATCCCGTGTGTGTGTGTGTGTTGTGTGTTGTGTGTGTGTGTGTGTGTGTGTGTGTGTTGGTGTGTTCGTTTGGGATTTACTAGAATGTATGTATCCTGACTAATGCAATGCAAATTTGTTAAGGCTCTATGACATATTGCTCATTTTCCTTATACAGTCTATTACCAGACTTCTCTCTTTCTCTGTGTGTGCGCATGTGTGTCGGGTCATGCGTATTCATACATGAAAAGGCTACAGAAAAAACTCAGTTGCCATCCCTTAGATACCTTCCACCTTGATTTTTGGGACTTGGGTAGTGCCTGTCTCCAACATTTATGCTATTTTGAATAAACCAAGCAAACTGAGGCTGTATCAACTTAGTTTTATTAATAGCTACAAAATACACTTATTTTTAAAGACAAACTAAAAATATTCTCTGGATGTTGAGAAGTAAATAATACTTTTTTAAATAACAGTGGAACCAGGAACGATTTTAGACTGAATGGTAACCAATGCAGGCGTACAGAGAACTTCAGTGCTGCAGCAGAAGTGGGACTCCGAGGAAAAACCCCAGCACTAAAATACACGTGTTAGGAAAGAAAACAGGCGGCGATATCAATGATCTAAACATCTGTCTCAAAATAGTTGAACAAAGATATCCAAGGAAGCTAGAAGAAATAAGACATCTTTATATTTCTAAAAATAGAGAAAAAAGCACAATTATATAAAATAAAGAAAGAAAGCTGAAGATTGTAGGTTTGAAAACAGCAGCAACAACAATTGGTAATCCCAAAGCAAGGCTGATCTAAGAGAAAAAGGATAGATAATAAGTTGCCAATATCAGCAACAAATGTAGTTTAACTCAAATTTAACTCAATTTTTTTGTTTTGTTTTGTTTTTTGGGTTTTTTGTTGTTTTTTTTTCTTTTTCTGGTTTTTTGTGGTTTTTTTTGAGATAGGGTTTCTGTGTGTAACAGTGCTGGCTGTTCTAGAACTCACTATGTAGACTAGTAGGCATGCAACTCAGAGATCTGCCTGCCTCTGCCTTTTAGGGTCTGGGACTACAGGTACGTGCTACCAGCGCCTGACTCACTAACTCAGTATTTCAACAAAAACATTTTACTACCTATAAAGGGCACCAAGTATGAGCAGGAAAGGAAATAGGATGCTCTGAATTAGTTTTGAAAGTGTCCATAAAATTCACATTTCAGGCTGGGCAGTGGTGGCACATGCCATTAATCTATTTTAGCACTTGAGAGGCAGAGGCAGGCAGATCTCTGTGAGTTCAGTGCCGGCCTGGTTTTCAGAGTGAGTTTCAGGACAGACAGGACTGTTCCACAGAGAAACCCTGTCCCAAGAAACAAAACAAAACAAAACAAAACAAAAAATCACATTTCAGATTCTATTACATTCAATTTAGTACAACAACATTCTCTGGACAATAATACAGGCTACTATCAATTTGGTGGTAAAGGCCTAGAAAAGAAGAAATCACATATGTTGTGAGCTTTGAAAGAACGGAGTCAGCACCAGCTCTAATCACAATCCCCAGTATGTGACTTTAGGAAAGTTTATAACCTCTCTAAGCTCCATTTTCTCATATTTTTTAAAAAAGGAAAACAATAGCCAAACTTATTGGCACATGCTGGAAGGGTGAAAGATTAAAACAGCAAGCATGTTCAAGTTCCCACAGAACACCTTCCCCGTAATGACCCATGACCTCAGGTTTACCATTTGAACATTTGTAGGAAAAATTCAGAAACATTGAAAAAAATAAGGTCATTCATTTTCAAAAGCTTGACATTTCTTTTTTTTTTTTTTGCCCATTTTGACTGGGGAGGTTTCATTGATAATTTATTTAATTTCATTTTACATTCCATGGTCCTCCTACCCATTCCTCCTGCTCCCCCGTGGATTGTCAACTGTTCAATAAAAATGATGTTACCAGCTGTGCTGAGGATGGAGCTCAATGGCATACAGGTTTGACTACCATGTGTGAAAGTTTTCGGGTTTGCTTCTCAGTTTCATTAAAAGAGAAAAGAAAAAGTGAGTTAACAATATATGAACGAAACACAGCACCACATGAGAAAGTAAAAGTGAAATAACAATATACAAGTTTAGCTCGGTTTCATGGAGTAGTTTTTTTCTTGAGTAGTGGTAATATATGGTAAGAACTAAACCGATCGTGGAACGCTGGCAAACTTTGTTGGGAAGTCCTTCCATC